ATAGTTTATTGCTTTCAAAATAGTCATTATTTACTAAGTACTTATTTGAAATTGAAAATAAATAAAGACCAAGTTAAACGTTTATTAATTGTTTGGGTACGTAGCAGTGCGTACAAATATAAACCCATAGACTTTCGTCATTTGCTAAAGACCAATAATTGCAAGGATAATCAAATAACATCAAAAAAGGTAATATTTTCTGAAAGCGATGATGTTTAACATAGCTTATCATCAGATTACTTTAAACCTTACATTGGCTAAAATTACGACATGTTCAAAATATTGATTGGCTACTTAACAACTATTAACCGAAAGTCTGATTTGTTTCTCAAGGCGTATCAAATGGTGATTTGGTCATAATGCCAGGTACTGCTATAAAGTCATAGATAAATGATCACGCTAATTGTAGACATCTTGATGTGTTCGGTTCGAGGAAGTAAATATGAGAACCAGCTTCTTGGTAAGTAAAGTATTGAACTATATATTTTTCATATATTTAAATAATATCTTGTGTTAAACTATCGATGTAATGTTTCGATAAAGTTTTCTCTATAATCTCCGAGTTAAAGTCAAAGCATTTATTTTAATTAATACTTAGACGGAGGGCACTTTTAAAACGTCAAAAATTGAATTAAATTCTCGTTCTGTATGTCTGTCAGTGAAGCTAGGCGCTGAACGTAGAATAAACCTTATATTTTAAGCCTAAGTTTTAGTACCAGTATCAGCTTGTCCTTTTTATAGGACTCACTAAATAATTAGTGATTTTTTGAAAAAAAAATGTTTCAATATAGGACATAATAATATTTCTGTGATTTAGTCTAATTTCAATTCGTAAACATATTTAAAACTATTGAAGTATGTGGTAGGTGCAATGCAATCCCAGATGGAGCCCAATAGGGCGATTCTGAGTTGCGGACTGCGTACAATCCAACAGTTTATCGGGGCTTCGGCTGAAAGCAGGAGTAGGAACCGGATGGTTTTCAGTCAGTCAGAATTAGTAAGCTACTTTTTCTCATTTCATCCAAGGCAAGTCATTGGATGATTTTCCCCCTCTCAAAAAAGGTACCACAGCATAGGATTACAATAAAAAAAGATAAATATCTTGTTAATATATTCGTATATAAAATTTATCTCAGAACTAATTGGATAGGTTATAATATTTTTTATACAGATCTCCCAAAATGTGACATTTAAAATTGCTCATAGTCCTGTAATGAATAGGGATAGTATTATAAACATGTTTTAAAAACAATAAAATAATGACGATTGAAATTATACCCAGTATACAGCAATGAACAAAGTCGATTATATCGGCATAAATTACCTACGTTTACAAAAGGAATGGGGTAGACGACTAATTTTTATTTTAATGTCCGTCTGATAGATTATTTAAAAACATTAGACACGTATTTTTTATTTTCTCACAGAAACGAATAGTTTCGAAGATATATTGATTTGAAATGTCGCGTGACGTCACTTCTCAGTACATTTTATACTAAGGAATGACGTTTTAGCCCCCACTCCTAAACTTTGATTCGTTTTATCTAAGTATTGTTTTATTATACGACAAAATAAAAAAATACGTGTCTAATATTTTTTCATTACCTAACTTACGGACTAATTATATTTTTAATTTTCATACCCTGTCATCATCCCCATTGTTTATTCCATTAAGAAGTACGAGTAGCATTATGGGTAAACCAAACATTTATTTATTGCAGGTATGTTTGATTGGTATAGTCGTCGTGCATCAAGTGGTCTCATACAGTTTTGGTGATCAAAACAACCAATATCTTCGGAAAGACTTACAATATGACTTGGCTAACATTGCAAGAGTAGGAAACTCAGATAGGTACAGTTTAAATTTTAATCCTTTGAACGCTGCTCGGCTGAGAAATTCATATAACCTACCTCTATATAAAACTCTACGAAGCAGTTTGCTTGATAGCGAAGATGATTATAACCATTCATCAATCAACTATCGAAATAGCGACGCTGAAGATCAGAACAATCCTTCAAATATCAATTTCCCTGATGAAAATGGTGCTATTGAAGAGGTTTCACCAATTTATAACCCATCGCCACCATACAATTATATGACTGGGGATCCGACTTCTATAGATGATCCAATAAAGTATCAGGACGAATGTACGGATTGTATATATGACAGTCCACATAATCCACATAAGATCACGCAGACAGAAAAGAGGTTTGGTTTTCCATACGGTGGATATGCGGGTGCAGGTGCTCAAGCTGGAGCTTATGGTGGTGGTGCCTATGACTACGACTGGTATGGATATTCAGGGTAGCCTAGAAGTTCATTAAAAACTAAAAAGCACTAAACTAAAATTTACGAGCTTTATTTTTTTTATTTTATTTTAAAAGACTTCATGCACATACTAATGTACAAGGTGGGCTTAATGCCTAGGGCATTCTCCTCCAGCCAGACCTTTGGGTGATGCAGAGACAAAAACAATGGTCGATGCAAGAAGCAAGCGTATTTAAGACTCAACAGAAATGCATAAAAAAGGATAGTATAGACTTACATAAAATAAATCCCTATATAAACAAACCTTTACACGTAAATATACCAAGAAAGGCTCTACTACAGCTGCGCGACATCGCAGCGACCGCGCACGCTGCTCATGAGGAAGAGTCCCTCTGTGTCTCGAAACTAATAGAGCTTTTCTCAGTATGTTTACGTGAGTAACTCCTAATTTTTTGTTAATTCAGCATGTCTCACGATACTTATTATAAAAACATACAAAACACTTCATTATTGACATAAAAAATCTGTACCATAAAATGTTCATAAGTATCCTATTATTATGGATAAAAAATATTACTTAAAAACAATTCAAATTTTTTTTCGTTTAAATCTAAACACTTTTGTATAAGTATGTTTTTACAGTAATTTCTTTTCTAAAAATTCTATGATTGTAAACTGTAAATTTTTTGGGGTCACACTGTCCAAGTAGAATTGAGTAGATACCATTAAAGATTGTGTTTACGGTACAAGAATGATCGCACAATATTTGCTGCCTTCAAAACAAATAAAATAATTTACAAATTACTTATACTAATCTATTTTCCCCTTAAAATCAGATCAAGATCCTTAAAGATTTTCCTTTAACTGCAGCATAGCAAGCTTTCTGTTTACCGTCACAAAAAGTGATATTGTTAATAAAGACCTTATTGAAGAACTGAACTTGAACTGAACGAATAATTTAAAAATGCAAATCTCAATTTAATTCAGTGGTTCTGAAAGAAAGATGAAGTCTTATGGTTGTGATAATTCTTTTAAAATGTTACTCCCCCAAAATTTGTCTTTTTATTGCCGTTGAGGATTTCACACAGAAATATGTCTGCATGCCATTCTGCACTCTGGTGCAGAATGGCTCTCGAGACGTCCAAAAATTCTCGCCAATGAACTCACAAAACCTTGCCTCACTATAAAACGGTTAAATGAAAAAATAAGGATTTTTAAGTATGGGAGACCCATGCTTCGGCACAAATGAGCCGGCTCGACCGGAGTGATACCACGGCCTCACAGAAAAGTTTCGTCGTGTGAGTCAGGTTACTGGAGGCTCAACTATTCCCCTTCTTCATCAATCTCCCCAGTCCCTGAATCCCTGACATTCCTGACATTCCTCAAATTCCTAATCCCTAAAAGGTCGGTAACGTATTTGTAACGGTTCATGGGCGATGCCGATTGCTTACCATCAGGTGATCCGTCCGTTATTATTAAAAAAGGTTCATGGGACACAGGTCCCTTTGTTACCCACCATTATAACACAACTCATCAGTTCATAGTCTAACGCCTGATCACTTATGTTATCAAAAAATGGCGTAGATGTGTTTACAAAAACTTCACACACACCACCTATAGATGTTCAAGTAGAAGTAGACTGTTGGGGACCACAAATCATTATGTTTTTTTTCAAATACCTAGTTTAATATTTTGGGTCAGCATTCATAACCTATAATATTACAGCAAGTTTCATTAGTATCGTTACTGCTGTTTTCGAAAACGTGTTTATATGTATGCTAAAAATAAGGATAATGAAGGTATTTATTCGACTGAGTAGATAAAAAATATTCCACGCAATTATTGATGGATAGTAAAATACATCAACTTAGACGTCAGAGGATATTTAACAGAGGTTCGATTTAAAACATCGCGTAGTCTATTAAAAGTAACATGCAGGATAAGTTGTTCTTAAAATTCACAACAATTGTTTTTATCTATAACTAGCTTCTGCCCGCGACTTCGTACGCGTAATCCCATTTTTCCCGTTCCCGTTCGTGATTTTCGGTAAAAAGTAAAAAAAAAGAATTGGGTAAAAAGTATCCTATGTCGGTCTCCTGGCTCTAAGCTACCAATTGTCAGCCAAATCTATTCTGCCGTTCTTGAGTTATAAGTGGTGTAACTAACACGACTTTCTTTTATATATATAGATGAAGTAGCCAACTAATACTGAAATATAAAATGCTATAAGAAATGCAGATGTAAGACAGTCTACCAGGAAAATAATATTGTTTCAGTATTAAAATACCTTCACCACGATACATTATATTGCATACAGAAAAATATAAATAAATTGAGGAACATAGAAACGTTTTAGCGTAGTTCTATTCTATGCATAATAACTAAGGATTTTTGAAGACTAATCAATCAGTAATACGTTTGATGAAACGCCATGGAAGTGTACTTTCAAATTTATTTTTATACATGTTACTTGTGAAGCAAAATTACATTCAATACTTTATGGTTTTTTATATTAGAAATGTTGTAAAACAATGTGAACTAGGCTATCTTTAGAATTTATTTCTAAAGCTATATTTATTTCAAGGTTTAGTACCTCATCTTTGACATGCTCTTTTGTTATAATTATAAAATAAATAATAAACAAAAAATATATTTCCAGAAAATTGAAATAGGTACATAGAACTTCGGATAAAAGTCTGTTGAAAATGCATTATTTTTAATTATCTTAGTTTTAGCCATACGTGCCGTACCCATAGGAGGTACCCCCGGCGGCACCATAACCACTTGCACCAGCTTCAGCACCAGCACCAGCACCTACTTCTGCGCCTATTCCAGCGCTTATACCAGCACTGAGACCTGCGGAAATTCCACCGCCAATTCCACCACCAATTCCACCACCGATTCCACCATAACCACCAGCTCCCATGCCACCATAACCACCAGCTCCCATACCGCCATAACCACCAGCACCCATACCACCATAACCACCAGCCCCCATACCACCATAACCACCAGCACCCATACCACCGTAGCCGTAGCCACCAATACCACCGTAACCACCAATTCCAGCATTTATACCAGCGCTGAGTCCTGCGTGGATTCCTGCTTGAACGCCACCGCCTACGTGACCATAAGCTCCTGCCCCAGCCCCAGCCCCTGCCCCAGCCCCAGCTCCACCATAAATCATGTTTCTCCTGCTATAATATTGTCGCAAGTAATTATTGCGTCGGCTGTTGTTGGCATTACGTATATGTAAACGGTACTGATACTCATTTTTTGATAAAGGCTTGGCTTCACAGACCATGGCCAAGGTGCAAAAAAGTAACTGAAATGGAAAGGAATTTTGTGAGTAAAATATTATAATAAAAAAAATCATTGGGTAAACAAATCCAACATCTTTAAATAGTTAGTAGTAACTGTTACTTCCCAGTTGCATTTTCATTCAAATAGACAAAAACGTACTTGAATATCATTTTTAAGCCGCTGCTTCTTTATTTTTATTTTATTCACTTACACATGCATATAGGAAATATTGTATTATAAACTAATAATTATTATTAGTGTAAAATTATAATTATTATTAGTTTCTACTCGTAATGCAGTAAATTAGACGTTACTTACAAGGATTATAGTCCTCATTTTCGTTTCTTTCCCTTGAAGTCTCAGCCAAGAGTGACTCGAGTACCTTGCCTACATTTAAACTAACATCATTGATTTGTAAGCAATTCCTTTGTTTGTTCCGATTTCATTGATGGCTGATAACAACAAAATTGCGATTAGTCTCGGAGCGGTAGTTTATTGAATCTAATTACAACATTTCAACTTTATTCATATAATATACTTGCGGCGACGTACATAGACTATTCGATGATGAAATATAACTAATGACGTCACGCCCTTTTCTCTTGACACTGTTGGAAATTCTTGCATATGAAGATTACTCCATAAAATAACTAGGGTTTTTAATATGAAGGGGTACAAATTGATACCGCAGTCAGCTTCACGCTTAGCAGGCTGGTTTAAAGGTTCAGACTAATCAGAGCTGCTGCGTGTTCTCTGTCAAATGTATGTATAGATAGTCTTCTGGACGGCTTTTACGACTTGCACCAAAAGAATAAGGTTGGTGATTAATGTATTTTCCTCTGCCGTCAACACTTGGTATATACCTTTATCAGAAAAAATGGGGACAAAAAATATGACATACAAATATTCCTTTTTAATTTAACAACGTCACATAAAATCAGTGAAACGTTTTATTCGCATACCCAAGGATAATATACTGTAACAATGTGGCCCAAAAATATTGCAAACGTACAATAAACTGTACTAAAATATTACAATTGGTTTATGAAGGAATTTACATTTTTTCCGTGTCAGAAGCTAAAAAAACTTATAATACGTAAGTTGAAAAGTATCTCACGATTGTTTTTTTCTTGTATTCGAACTTTTTTTTAAAAAGCATTGTTGCCCCTAACTCTATGATTTTCTGCCGTATCGTGGGTGCGTTTACTAATATAAGTATAATTTCACATACACTTTACACCCTGACCCGGAACAACAATCTGTGGATCACACAAAGAGTTGTTCCGTGCGGGAATCGAAACCGCGACACGTTGCGCGGCAGCCGGTTGCTCAACCACCGCGACAACTGTACAGTCAAACGTCGACGTGTTATTTGTTTTTTCTTTTGTATTACGAATACAGCAGTTATAAAGGAACATCTAATTTGATTAGAAAAAAACATTATGTAGAGTTGTTCTTGACATTTTAAGCTTAACGTGATTGATATGTCATTTGTTTTTATTTGTATTGAAAAATATTATGAATACCGTGTTGCATCTGTGGGATATTTGCGTCTTAATATTTTTGGCTTGACTACTTTATTTAATTTTAATGTCATAGTATTTTGCTTATCCCATTAGGAATTACAATGACATGATGACTTAATGTAGGTAATTAAATATTTCTTACTCTTCATTAATACATTTTTAAGATGATTTTAAAACTTATTCATTTAACTTTGACTTCCCTCCCCTAGTTAGAAAGCTTAGTCAAACGAAAAATACAATTTACCAAACTCGGGAGTAAAAAATCATGAACTTTTCGAATGTTTTTGGGCGTCCATTTTGCGTTGATTAAAGTCATCCGAATTCTGCGGTCGGACGCGTTCGCGGTTCCAATCAAAATATGGAAAAGTGCAACCTCATTGGTTTCAGATAATAATGACTTTAATTTATTTCCAACGTGTGGTTTTATTCCATTTTCATAAGGATTAAAAGATGATTTTTTGATTGATGATAATGACTTTACTGGTGGACAGTGGGTAAATTATGAGTGATCTATTTGTAGGATAAAATGAGTTAATTACCATAAAACCCCACTTTTTGCTAGTTGTAACACTCGAACTAAAAGGGTGCGTGCTTCAGTCCACATTTACAATCTTTTGCACCATGCAAACTTATATGTGGAGAAAGCCAATTATATTTAGTTATCCAGCAGTGAATTGTCTCGGGTTCTTGATGATGATAATGAGGACAATGCAAAATATGTATACTGGGAACCACTTAAGATTCAATATTCGATAACAGGTTTACCACAACTATACTGCCAACGAGACAGTATGGTAAATAGGTATTCGGTAGAAAATAATAAATAAATTAGTCGTGTATCTTCCCTATAGAGAATGCACTGGTGTGAATTAATTTATGAAACTCTTGGTTGTCTCATTATAAGCCGGAGTTCGCATCGAAGTAAGTTTAGTGAAAGGCTTCACTTAATAAACTGCTACGGGTAGATAGTTTGGTGGAAATTGGAAGCAGTTGCTCTAGGCGGATAGCTAATTTAATTTTAATTACGGCAACACTTTCAACTGTTTGCCAAACAATGAGAAAACACGTGCTAACTAGCTTCCATGTTGAATGCCAACGCTTTAAAATTCGTATAAACAATTGTCATTTTGATAAGTAGGCTTATAATTTTATTCTTTTTTTTTATTTGTTGTTGGCAGATGAATCGCTAGTGTGAGGTTTCACCATCACTTTTGGGTAGTTCTCTACCACTACAACGATAATATGTCCAACCGATTAGGATTCGAAAGACTTACGTCAAATTATTCTGTCAATGGCTAAATAATAAATATCTTTAATTATACGCAGTACTGTCATTACAATTCTATAAGTACCTCTAATTCTTAGTAGTAGCACGAAGTCTGGCATAGTGCCCGATATATGGCAAGAGATTCACCCCCTATTACATGGGATTCAAAACATAAATAGTAAAAAGTGGGTATCACATTGTACAGTGGCATTAAATGCCGTGATGTGCACCTTTGCGTTATGATCGGCGACGGCGATCTCTCGCGGCTGACTCTAGTTTAAACTACATATGGTACGGGGCGAGGGGGACTGGGATGTCGTCCCTTCCTTCTGCGAAGCAGTCATGCTAGCTAAGGAGGAGACGGAACGCGTGAGGGGAATGAATCTCCTCACGCCCCATCCGTCGTGAGATACACTCTGGGCGTCGGGGATCACGCGACGATCTCCGGCCACCGTAAGCCTGCGGACGGCAAGCACGGGTGACTCGCCACCTCGTCACACGGTGACAGAACCAGATCCGAGCATACGGCGCGTCATAAGGAGCCATTTGACCATCACAGATAAGGCCCAATAGGGCTGATGCCGATACGGAATGCTGAACGGGTTCCCGGGGCTCCGATTTGAAGTGCAGAAGTAGGAACGGAGTGGTTTTTAGTCAGTAAGAGTCTGACACTCCCTCTCGCCTCACCTGGGCGGGAGAAGACCTGGTTGATCGTCCCCCCTCAAAAAAAAGTACTGTCATTACATTTTTGCTAATTATTCGACACCTGAACAACATCGTTGTTAGTACAGTCTTACTAAAATAGTCTCAAGTTGCGTTAAAGTAAGTTTTGTGTTGAAACAGTTATGAAGTGCTAACTACTCCCGACTGTCTGGAAGGAAACTAATTTACCTAATTCTGCTAAACGAACAGGTAAGAGAATGGTTATATAATACTAATAATAAGAGTAATGCCTTGGTTAATGAAGATGTACTTAGGATCCATATTTCATTTTCATTTCATTTCATATCTTATTTAGGGAAGTTGAATTTGTTATTTAGATAATTGAATAAAATTGTTAGTAAATGACATAATATCATCTCGGCATAATGTAAAAGACTAGTTTCCTAAATTTTATTTTAATGTCCATTTGGCTGATTTAAAACATTAGACACGTATTTTTTCTTTTCGCACATATTATATCGTCAAATTAAATACTTTTGACGATACATTAGTTTGAAATATCGTTGTGACATACAACATACTATATTTTGTAGCACTTTGTGACGCATCTCCCACTCCTAATTCATTCATTCCTTAACTCCATTTTATCCAAGTATTGTAACATTCTACGAGAAAAAAAAGTGTTTAATATTTTTTCATTATATAACTGACGGAGTAATTACATTTTTAATTTTCATACCCTGGCAACTCCTCTATTGATGACCAATAACATCCACCAAAGCCTGTGACAGTCTCCCGCTGCACCATGGTCAATGTTGATGTGATTTCGAAGACAACCTTAAAAAAATTCTAATTGGCAGTAAACATAAACTAACAATGTTATTACCTTTATCTAATCTTTAAATCTTGCCAATTCTCTAAAAGCTTCTCCTAATTCAAGGCCTATAAATCCCGGATTTAATAACTAGCAAGGGAGCAATTTTCCACAAGAGTTACCGGACAAAAACGCATACCCAGTAGTCTTTTGTACCATGTATAGATGCTAGCATATAAAGCTAACCCAAATAGTCAACACCCATTAATACATTTTCAACTATAACACAAAAAGCTAAGGTTGAAATTCTAATAAAAGATTTCGACAAATAAGAGTAGTTTGACGTGCTGATGTCCGTATCTAAAGTTTTTTTCCGTAATTTCCACATGCTTTGTACAGAACTCTGTTAGTGTTGTGATTCGGAGCACGATCGGACCTCTTTATTAACTCAGTTCGGTAACTCAATTTGGCGTTGAAGGGATGACGAGAACTTGCGTACGTGTTACGGCAACTGTTATGTTACACGACGTATCCGAACGAACTCGGATCACTGTGGTGACTTGGTTATCGAATGATTGTGGGTCCCGGTTCCGTTATTGAATATGACTGTAAGT